GCAATAGTTATATGTACCTTTTACATATATAAATAAACAAATGTAATCTCCGGTGGTACTAATTGTGGATTCACTTTTGCACTTTGTACATTAAAACTTATTACACACATGTTTGATTAATTGACTGAAAGTATTTTGTATGATTGTATCTTATAAAGCACAAATAAGATAAATTGTAAGGGCATTAGAGTAGCTGAATCTCGAATTTCCCTTTCCGGAGCTAAACCAAGGAACAACCTGTAATTAGGATAAAATTAAAGCTACATCATGTGCAAGTTTATTACCCCCTACAATCTCACCCCTGTTATCTCCGATCACCGCACCAAAGCAGCATTGTTGAATATGAAGTTGTAGCAGCCCCATTATTCATGGCTAAATTTGATGGATTAAAATGATGATTTAATATTAATTAATTAGAATAAAACAAAATAATAATATGATGGGATAATACATCTATAATACTCCACCATTTAATTCAATATTACGTCCACCAATTTCATATTCAAACCAATCAAATTCTTCTCTCATGCATTAAAACAACATACAAAGGGCCACAAATTTTTGTATCAAGGCCGGAAATGATGTACTCATATATTGATACATGATTTATTTCAGGTGTATAGTATAAGGTATAACACAATAAAATACAATCAAACAAACCTTCAACCCTACCTTATTCAATTTCAGCGTGAACCCGGAGTTTTATTAAATATCGAATTTCCCAATTGAAGTTTGGATATTCAGCTCACCTCACCTCACCTCATGTAATTGCTAACCTCTTTCAATAATGGAGTATACATCATTTTTTCTCCAAATCATACCCCACTCTCACTCTCTCTCCCAATTTTCCAGCACTAAATAGCAATCCGTAATGACAACGAAATGAGCCCTAAGTAATTACTGTACTTGCCTCTTTCAATAATTGAGTATACAAATGCCCAAAAGCTTCGCCCTTTCAACAATTGAGACGCGCCTTTCACGAGAATTCAACTCCGGCCGAAAGATCTTGTCTTGCAATAACCCAATTTCACAGGGAAAACCCAGACAAAATTGTCATTCAAGAGGAGCTCAGAAATGGGGAGAGAGAAAGTGAGATGAAGCGTTCTTTTTGGGTAATGAGATAGAAAGTCATGAGACAGTAAATCCCAATGAGACAAAAGGACAATAACGGAGTACTGTTCCGTGAAACGGTACACCACAACTGACAATTTTCAAATTACATATTAATTGACACTTTTAACCCTGCGAGATATTACCAAATGTCTCACAACCCTCCGTTTGGAACGCCTTCTTCTGGTTCTTGAACACTTGCTTCAAATTGCTGATCTCATGTTGAGGCTGATGAGCTGGAACAGACTGCTAGAAAAACAAACAAGAATAAGGAAAAGAACAAGAAAGATAGGGGTGTATGCTTAACTATTAATCAAAAAAATAAATTAAATAACCCATCACCGAACCCCACAAACCCATCACCACCGACGCACCCAACACCAACATCACCACCGACACACCTAGCAGCACCCATCACCACCGTCGCACCCAACACCAACATCACCACCGATGCACCCAGCAGCACCCATCACCACCGTCGCACCCACCACCAACATCAGCACCGACGTAACCTTGAATCCATCCATCACCACCGTCATACCCAGCACCAACATCACCACCGACGCAACCTTGAACCCAACCATCACCATCGTCACACGAAGCGCCATCACCACCGTCGCACCCAGCATCAACATCACCAACGACGCACCGTTGAAAAACCACATATCTAGACAAAAAAAACACAAAACCACGAAAACCCTTTAATCCACTACCACCACCACCACCAACAACAACAACAACAACCCAGCGAAACCACGTGAACCAATCAACCCACAAAACCACTCACCCTTGAACCCACTACCCCACCACAACTCACCCTTGAACCCACCGACCCACGAACCTAGAAACCATGAACAAATCAACCATGAACCCACAAACCCTTCTCTATCATCAATTAAACCTTTAATTGGGTTAAATTTAACAGTTTAACCATCAAAACTCTTCAAAACTGTTAAATTTGACTATAAAACCATCGAATTTGGGTTTCATCAGCAATGAGGAAACAAAAAACAAAGGAAGAGAGAGAAAACCAAGGCGGCGATGAAGGTGGTGGTTTCCATTGAAGATGGTGGTGGTGGTGGATGCCATTGAAGGTGGTGGTTGCCATTGAAGAGAGAGAAAGCTTATGAAGGAAGATATTGAAATGTTGAATGTAGATGGAGGAAGGGAATGAATTTTGTGGTTAGCCTTAGGGATTAATGTAATAAGAACATATTTATAATTTAATTAGGATGTTATATAAAAAAAAAAGTAAGGGTAAAAGTGTTATTTTGTAGGGAAAAAGTTACTAAAAAGGAAAGAAAGTAAGTGTTGCGAGTAACGTGAAGCGGCAAAAAGAGGAAGTTGTCGCGAGTAATATGAAGCGGAGGTAGTACAATAAGACAATTCCAACAAGATCTCACATGAATATATATTATCACTTATATATTAACGAGAATTAAGGGTCAAAGTTTTTAAAGTTTGACATAAAAATATGCAAATGGCAAAAAAAAAAAAAATTAAAAAAAAATAATAAGAATAAGGGACGGAGGGATTATGATGTACATAATTTTATCCGTGATAATGACTCATTGCAAAATCTATAGATGTTTAAAATTTGATGGAAATTTTTTTATACAAAATCACAATACATTATGCAAAATTTAAACTTGGTGTGTTGCTACTAGTTTAAATTTAGTTTGAGTTTCAAGTTAGTAGGTGTATATTGAGGTTTTTTTTGTTATAGCGTTTAGTGCTACACTACTCTGGAATTTTAGATCTGCCACTGGCCGATGGAGATTCAAAAAAAATGAGGGGAAAAAATAAACAATTTATTGGGTATTATTACTCATTAAATTAGGCAGTTGAAGGGTTAAGGTTAAATTTAAATTCGAACTTAAAATTTTCAGAAATGAAGTTTGAAATTTAAATGAATAGTAGGATGTCCTACCAAAAAAAAAAGATGTCATTTCAACTAATAGGAAGAGTGGTGTACAAGATTCTTTGTGCACTGAGTGTACCCTATCATCTCCTTAATCAACCATTATGAAATTTCTCCTAAAAGTCCATTCACGAAGTGAAAGTTTGATTATATGCGTAACAAAGATAATATTAAATATAAATAATAGCTCATGCTCATGCATTTGAATATGTCTGAAGATAGTTTTTGCGGGTTTTTCACCATATGGCCCTGAATTTTTTGTTTATTCACCATATACCCCTGAACTTTTTAAAATTCATCATATATTCCCGAGTTTTCACAAAAATACACCATATACCCTAGAAAACTAATGATTGTTGAATTTGTGAATCATTAGAGTTAATTATGAATCGAAACCACTCTAAATACATTACCCAACCCCCAAAACTATCTAAATTCCATTTTCCACCCCTAAATCCACCCTAAATTTCTTTTTCTCATCCTCAAAATCAATCATACGGATATGACTATAGAGATTTGGGAGAGAGATCTAAGGTAGTTTCGAGGTATAATTAATCAAATTCCACTCATTTTAATCTTATTAGGTATAGGGTGAATTTGAAAATTTTCATGGGTATATGGTGAATAAAAAAAAACTCAGGGGTATGTGGTGAAAAAATCGTAGTTTTTTATTTTACGGTCACAATAATTATTCACAGTCACTTTTTTTTTTTTTTACAATCATAATAGACATACAAAACTAACTATCATCCCTTACCAAGTCCAAGAAATACTCAATATAAGTATAAAAACACCTCTAATCTAATGGCATCGCTTCTGCACCGCTCTTGGTTAAACTTAGGTGTCTTTGCATCTTTTCTGACGACCTCCGTTGAAGTATAGGTGAGAGAGTGATAACACTTGATTGGGTATAAAAAAAACATTTAAACCTGAAACTCTATACCAAACAAACCCAACTCTTAACAAATCCATTAAACCTAGACCGAAAGAAAGAAACTAAAATACAAGACACACACTAGAACCTTGTTACATGCTTTGGCTAAACACCAAATTTGAAGGATAGCATTTATACCACGACCATTTGATTGGAACTCTGCAAAACAAATCCCAATAGGACTTACCAGTAAATTATGAACTTATTGCAAGCATACAAAAGCCAAGACAGAGCGAATTGGAGAAAACTGAAATCGGAAGTAGTAGAGAAGGCTAGTAAACCATGTCGATAAAAGACAATGTGGGCCGAAAACATCTTCAAACTTGATTGCCATGTCACAAAAGGCGAGAACCTACTTTTGCCAATAAGGTCATCCCAAGGCCCTAACAATTGACAAACATTTTGGGATCCTTGACCATGAGTTATCTAAAACAAACATCTTGGGATCCTTGATCATGAGTTATAAAATAAGAATTGGAGTTCCACTTCGTTTTCATTTCTCTAACCAAACGCCCCCTTAATGTGGAGGTTCATGTTGCAGTTTGTGGTTATATGCCACTGGTGGTCTGTCGTGGCTGTTACTAGATTCAATAATGTTGGCAATTCAAGATTCTAAAGACACATTAAGAAAGCTTCATGGGTCAGTAGGCAATTGATCCTCGGATGGAAAAAATCCGTACAAATAACTAGCACAAACCACTCCAACCCTAACACAAAACAGAACCAAAAAAATAACCTACAAATATACATGGCTCACCTGCAAGAGCATCCAAAAAGAGTTGAACAACCCATCGCCGGTGAGCAAGAGGCCAAAAATTAAGGCGGTGTACCAGAGGAGAGGGAGTAGAGAAAGCGGTGCGAGCTCATCTTAGATAACCTTCCAAGTTCTTAGTCCACATACACAATCACTTTGAATAGATCCCAATGTAGAATATAATATAAAAACTCAAGTTCAAATTGCAACATAAAAGGTAGATAAAAGATGTGACTAATGAGTCCCACACAAAACCTGTAATGAGTCCCACACAAAACCCATGTGAAATACTCGCATAACCCACATACCATTGATACATTAATTCAAGTTATTTGAGGATTAAGCTTAAGAGTGCCAATGAGAAGACGTGTCATTTTAGTATCCGAGAACTAACAATCAGCAAAAGAATCATCAATCAACTTCTACTAGGCCTATTATTGATCTCATATTCTGATTACATGAATCACCCAGGTTCTATAAGCTTCAAAATATGCAACAAGATCATGGCAAAATTTGTAAAGGAGCCTTGACAACTATCTTCGCCTACCAACTTCTCTCCTCAGAACTAATAATGTAACCAGGAACCAAACACAGGCTTCTGCTGCCTAACAAAACCTTATACACAGCCGTTGAAAAAGGTTTAACCCGTATGACAAATTTCACAAGCTTACTTGCTGTCTGTGAAGTCAGCATCAATGACATCTCCTTCAGGTCCCTTGCCAGTTGAATCTGAGGGGCCGGACTCAGCTTCAGGAGTTGGGTCTGTACCTGGTGCTCCTCCTGCACCAGGCTGGTTGTAAAGGGACTGGCCAAGTTGCATTACTTCCTGGTTAAGAGCAGCCATTGCATCCTTAATTGCTTGAGTTTCACCCCCAGAGATAGCATCCTTTAGCTCTCCCAGTTTAGCTTCTACCTTTTCTTTAACAGGGGCAGGAACCTTTTCGCCAAGTTCCTTCAACTGCTTCTCTGTCTGGTAGACAACAGAATCAGCCTGGTTCTTTGTGTCAATGGCATCTCTCTTTTCCTTGTCTTCCTTGGAAAATTTCTCAGCCTCACTAACCATTCTCTCTACCTAGAAACATTTATACCTGACGTTAGTGTCATTGCTTAACAAGTTACCAGTATGCTTCAAAGCAGAAAGAATAATATTATTAGTTTAGACAGAAGCTTATATGTATAACTCTTGAACAAACCTCATCACTGGGCAGCGTACTCGCTCCGGTAATTGTTATGTCTTGCTTCTTTCCTGTTCCCTTGTCAATGGCAGTAACAGAGAGAATTCCATTGGCATCAATGTCAAATTTGACTTCAATCTGAGGAACACCTCGAGGAGCTGGTGGAATACCATCTAGACGGAAGCTACCAAGAGATTTGTTATCTCTTACAAACTCACGTTCTCCCTGAAGGACATTAATCTCAACACTTGTCTGTCCATCAGCAGCTGTTGAGAAGACTTCTGACTTAGATGTGGGCAGGGTTGTGTTTCGGGGGATAATCTTGGTCATTACTCCACCAAGGGTTTCAAGACCAATAGATAGTGGTGTAACATCCAAAAGTACAATGTCGCTTACATCTCCAGCAAGGACGCCAGCCTACAATATGAGAGAACATTAAATCACAAAATAACAAAATAATAAACAGGCAATGATGATAGCAAATGTCTTCCCAAAAATTAACCCCCCATCCACGACAGCACAAACAATATTATTGATCACATAACTTTTCTGTAGCTAACTTTTTGTTATATAGGTTGACATTAAACCAAAAATAGATTATTAGTCAGAGAGATTATCTGGAGTAAAACCTGCACTGCAGCTCCAAGAGCAACAACTTCATCAGGGTTAACTGTCACATTAGGGTCCTTTCCAGTCATCTTCTTTACCAACTCTATAACAGCTGGGATACGTGTTGATCCACCCACTAAGATCACTTCATCTAAATCACTGAAGGAGAGTTTTGCATCTCTCAGTGAATTCTCTACTGGTGTTCTCAATCTGAATACGATAGAAACAGAAGTCGTGTTCATATATAATTATAACTTATTACATACAAATATATACATGGAGCTGAATAAGTCATACCATATAATTGGAAAGGAATCTTACCACAATATGGAAACTATTTGAGACTACAAATATTACAGTACATAATTTTTTCCATAATGTTATTTTTCAACTAAATCTTTTAAGGAGATTATTTTACAACTTATAAAACAAATACATCTATTTAATACTTCTTACACTGTTTTGTTCTAATATTCTAATAATAATACAAAATATGAAGTACTCGTATTATTTACCCAAAAAAAAGGAAATATAATACCTATAAATAAATACAAAATTTCTCTATGCATGACTAGAGGCACCAGAGTCCAGCAGTCTAATATCTAAGATATCATAAACATAGGAACTAAATCATGCCACACTGATTTAGTCTAATAACTAAATCAACAGCATTCATAATGTAGCAAATAACCAAAGCACAGAGCAAAGAAAAATGCAGCACCTGTCTAGAAGATCTGAACACAGCTCCTCAAACTTGGCCCTTGTCAAAGTGGTCTCAATGTGCTTAGGTCCATCAGCAGTGGCAGTGATAAACGGCAAGCTGAGAAGAGCATAAACAGTCTAAGCTGTAAGTACCACGTGTACAACAGTTTGAAGATTTGGGGAAACCTTAAAAGGCAAAATATAGTCATGAAAGTTGATAATACCTAATGTTTGCCTGAGTTAAAGATGATAATTCCATCTTGGCTTTCTCTGCTGTCTCAGTTAGACGCTGTAGAGCTTGCTTGTCCTTTAAAAGGTCAATACCTTCATCTCTTTTAAAGTTTCCAGCTAGCCAATCAACAATTCTCTGTTTAAACCCAAAACTCAATCATTATGACAGTAAATATTCCAGCATTCATACTTCAATTAAAGATGAATAGGACACAAATTCAGGAAATCAATACTGCAAGAAAAGCAATAGATCTTCCACTTTACCTTGTCAAAATCATCACCACCCAAATGTGTATCTCCAGAGGTTGATAGTACTTCAAACACTCCATCACCAACCTCAAGGACTGGAACACGAATAAACAACATTATTTTATTAGCCAACAACACTACTACACAAAATTATGACCAAATATATGAAGACGATGTCCGCACAATGCAAAAGAACATATAAATACAAAACTGAAAAATCTAATGGATGTTTAGTTTTAAGAACAGCTACCGAAAAAGGGGAAGGAAGTACCTGAAACATCAAATGTACCACCTCCAAGGTCAAAAACCAAAATGGTCTCATTGTTCTTCTTCTCAAAACCATAAGCCAAAGAGGCAGCAGTAGGCTCATTAATAATTCTAAGAACTTCTAATCCAGCAATGCGCCCGGCATCCTTTGTTGCGGTCCTTTGTGAATCATTGAAGTAAGCAGGCACAGTGACAACAGCCTTGGTTACTTGGTCATTCAAAAATTTTGAAGCATCATCCACAAGCTTTCTCAACACCTACACCATGAAAAGACAGCTCACTTCCAATATTGAGATTTAAAATAACTTTCACCTACCACTAAGGACCCAACACCACAACTCAACCGTCATCGCCTCTCCTCCATCTTGAAAAGCAATGGGAAAAGGCACACAACTATTACAAAGGCTGATTAAACTAATTAAAATGTGCAACAACTTCAACCACCAAGAACCAAACCCCTTCTAAATTTTCAATACCAATAATTATAAGACAAAATATAAATACAATTACTAAGTAATAAGCCAATAACAACAAACCCGTTTGCCTAAAATTAGTCTACTAAACATATTGAAACATTCAAAAGCTAAGATTGGCACAATTAAGAATCATTTCAAGCTAAATATAAATTAAATCAACAACTAAATTACTCAAAATAGAAACTTATTACTCACATTAAAAACCTCCAATTATGTCAAAAAAAAAAAAAAAAAAAAAAAAAAAAAAAACCACACACCATTAAAACGGTATGAAGAACAATATTTACCTGAGCAGAGATCTCTTCAGCAGCAAACTGCTTACCAATAGCAGGGCATTCAAGTTTGACATTACCATTGTCATCCCTAACAACCCTATAGCTCACCTGCTTCGACTCCTCATCAACCTCCGACATCTTCCTCCCAATAAACCTCTTCACCGAAAAGAACGTATTCTCGGGATTAACGACCGCCTGCCGCTTCGCAATCTGCCCCACCAATCTCTCTCCATTCTTCGTATACGCCACCACCGACGGCGTCGTGCGCTGACCCTCGGCGTTAGTCACAATTGTCGGCTTCCCACCTTCCATAGCAGCAACAGCGGAATTCGTTGTACCAAGGTCAATTCCTACAACCTTCTCTGCAACAACCCTGACCGGACCAACGCCGGCGCTCCGACGACGACCTCCGGAGCTCTTCCTTAGTCTCAAAAACGCCGATTTAGGGGTGCCAAAAGAGGCTGTGCTAGGGCTCATCTTCTGGCCGAAGAAGAATGAATTTGGCCTTGAAGAAGAGAATTTGGAAGATGAGGGTGTAAAGGGGGTGGGGCCAAGAACATGAATATGCGTTGCTGAAGACGCCATTTTTTATTGAGAAGGTGTAATCAGGTCTGAAAATGGAGATTTGGGAGAGAGAATTAGGGTTTGCGGGAAGGTAAGGGGGAGAGAGAGAGAGGAGGGAAGTGAGTAGAGAAGTGAAAGGAGAGGATAAGAAAAGTGAGGGTTTTAAGAGGAGGTAAACAAGGAAATGGGTGGCAGTTAGATGGAGTTCTAGAAATTTCTTCACCACAGTTTTTAAGAGATGATAATCATACTATTGCTAATTTCAACTTGCTTTTATTATTCCCCTATCTAATGGACTAAGAGTCTAGCCTGATTGACTGAACTCAGCTAAACTGAACTGAACTGAACTTATTAATTAGTGATTTTTAACTACGGATTAGTGATCTTTGATTATTTATCGATTATTTATTACTATACATATGTGTATATATAAATGTACATATTATTAATAATTATTATTATTATTATTGATGATTATTATTATTATTATTATTTATTGATTATTATTATTATTGTTATTATTTATTGATGATTATTATTATTATTTATTGATTATTATTATTAGTATTATTATTTCAATTATTATTGTTATTATTATTATTATTTATTGATGATTATTATTATTATTATTATTATTATTATTTATTACTTATTGATTATTATTGTTGTTGTTGTTGTTGTTGTTGTTGTTGTTGTTGTTGTTGTTGTTGTTGTTGTTGTTGTAATAAATGCTTAAAAGAATGAAATTTGGTTTTATATCATTAGCAATATCATTAGACGTAAATTAAGAGCTGAACTGAACTGAGCTAAACTGTTCTCTTCCGTTGAAATTCAGTTCAGTTCAGTTTAGTTTAGTTCAGTTCAGCTCCTAATTTCCTTCTCTTATAAAATATTCATTTCAGTTCAGTTCAGTTCAGTTTAGCTCAGTTCACTTCAGTTCAACTGAGTTCAGTGAGAACAGGCCCTAAAGTTTTAAATATAGGGTGAAATTAACATCAAAATCAAGATATAAGGTTTAAAATCAACTAACAAAAATTTACCAACAAAACAAAATGAACTTTCTCAAAAATCACCAAGATCTATGAAATAAGGGTACTTAATCAAATCCAACTCCAAATAAAACTAGGATTAAGATATAATCTATAGACACCTAATTTTGTCTCGCCAAAAACCAAACCCTGTGATGAGTATCTTTCACGTCATTTGATTATCGAACAAAGTAAAAGTGTGAAAATTCTTGTGATGCGGTTGTTTTAATAAAAATAACTCTTCTTCTATTTATGAAATGTCCGGTCTAATTTATTTTGGTTCATAATAAGGGTCCAATAATAGTGTAGTAGGATTGAGCTCGAAAAGAGCTTTCCAACGATATATTATACGCCCAATTCCGAGGAATAATGAAGAAATTATGGCTAAAATACTAAATTGGGCTGAAATGTTTTTATGGCCCAATGATCTAGTGAAGAGTCCATTAATTAATATTGCTAAACTTATTAGGATTGATTTTAATCATCTTGAACAGTCTAGAAGGTTGTTTTGGGTTCTAATGAGATTAAGAATAATAATTATATCTTTTATGAAAATAAAGAATTTTATTTTGAATAAAACAAGTGTTTCAAAGAGATGAAAATCTAATTTTCAAACATAAGTATGGACGTTGTTGATCAAATTTAATTAGATTCAGGATTCCGTACAAGTTTTAAGAAAGCGCTGAATGACAAGCGTGTCGCATCGCGCTAGACTCTATTGTTCTACGACAAAAGCAGTTTTACTCCTATTGGGATTCAGTTCTTTTTCTAATCGTTTTTGGGCTATTTTCTCTATAAATAGGGTTGTATTTCCCCATTTTTATTCGTTCACAATCATCAACAATATTCTATTCTCTTCTATTTTGGGTGTTTTTGTCCCTCGGAACAGTTACAGCTCGAGAACTGATCTGACTGCGCCTGTACCTGCAAAACAAATGCAACGGAGACTCCGGGTGTTTGGAGCTCCGCCTTCGACGATCTAGTTAGTACTTGAATGTGAGTAGGAGAAGGTGGGGAAAATAAAGTGAGATCTTCTCGGATTCTGAGATCAGGTGTTCTTTGATGTGAGAGAATGTAGGGTAGGTGTAATAAATGATTGAATGTGTCCTTAAATTGGGGAATATCTCCATATTTATAGGGTCATTAGAGAACGTGCCCTTTCTAGGTCACTTGACCTAGATTTGGTGAGTTGCGCCGTTTTACGGCGTTCTTGGGAATTGGGCCTTGAAGGCCGCAATTCTGGAAAGCATATGAGGCTGACACGTGTCAGCTGGCAATTGGCCCAAATGGACCTGTCTAGGCTTGACACGTGACCCTCTCTGATTGGTCCACGTGGACAAGGTAATTTTACTCAAAACATTTGCCCCTCACAGGTGGCACGTGGTTGGCCACGTGGCGCCTGTGACACGCGACATTCAGTAAACAGTGAATAGTAAAACTATTCACCTTCTAGGGTTTGACGGGGATGCCCCTGCTTTTACCCTTCTATAAATAGAAGGTTTTACCCTCTCTCTCTATCTCTCTCCTCATTTCACACTAGAGCATTTGACTTCTTAGAGAGAGAAAAGGAGAGTTTTTTAGAGAGAGAAAATATACATCAGTCTGCTGTGATTTTGCGTTTTCTCGGCTGCGTTTCGAGGAGCACATCCGGTCATCGCGTGTAGCAGTTTTCAGATATTCAGAGCTAAGTTTAAAGGTAACCGTCTATACTCCTTTCAAGATTTTTAAACTTTTCCGCTTGTGTAGATAGGCTTTAAAAACAAAATGGACTCTCCATCGACCCATACGACACCGCCTAGGTCATTCAGCCCATCTCCTGGTACGGCTGAATCTAGAGCTGGGGGTGCCTTTTCTGGACATTCGGACCTGCTTTGCTCATCCCCGAACACCTCCGTCTTTGTGTCTATGCAGGACATAATGCAAAGGGTTAAGCAAATGGCTAGAAGGCGGCACGCTAAAAGAGTGCCCACAAATGAAGTTATACTTGATGAGGAATATGAGGGTTCGGAGGAAGAGCATGTGGGTTCTTCTCCGAATGGCACCCTTTTGAACCCCCAACGACACAATTTTGGAAGGGGCAGACGGCGAGGACGATGCCTCTTCCTTAGGGTCTGGTGAAGAGTGGTCAGGAGGCGAGGAAGCCGCCGAGAGATCAGGCTCAGAGGCGTTGGGCTCTTACCAAGAAGATATAGCGGCTGACTATCAACAGCCGGCCAAAGGACCGAATCAGCCCAATCCCTTAACAACTAAAATGCTTCATAGGGACTTAACTGTTATGCAAAGTGATTAGGGGATTTTGCTCCTACCAATCGGAATGCGCCACGTGGGCCAATCAGGACCTGCCAAGTGTCCCCTAGTTGGAACTGTCAGGGCTTGCCACGTGGCACGCGCTTATTCGTCCACCTTGGACCTGTTATGTCACGACATGTGGCATACTCCATGCCTAATGGAGAAACCGGCCACCCAGGCCCAACTTCCGAGGGAAGCCCAATCGGCCCTAGGTTTACCTAAACCTAGGATGGGCACGTTTCCCAAGGTTATAAATACCTCCCTTAATCCTCATTAAGGGGAGGGTCAGGACAGAAACATTACGGAACACACTAATAACCGGATGATCTCGCTAACTAAGCAGATTACCTACCTTAAACACTCTCACCTAGAGAGACCTTATTACTTTAATTTCCGTATTAATTACTCCTTAATCAGGTACTAACTTGACCGTTGGAGGCGGAGCTCACAGGAGTCTCCGTTATTTTGCAGGTACAGGCGTCCGGTTCCAGTCTCGGAATTGTAACTCTCCCGCAGGACATCAGAAAACCCCGAAACACAAAGCAGCTTTAGAGCCTTTGCTGAAACGCATCCTGTAGGAGATGGATGGAGAATAGAGGTTCCTCCGCCTGAGTCAACAATTGCCTGGGAGGATGATATTGAGAACGCCGACAACAGTTTCGGCTGTTATGAAGTCGTGATTAAAGCCAGCCTCCGCTTTCCCCTTCACAAAGGGATTAAAAGGATTTTTAAGGGGTATGACTTGGGCGTATGGCAGCTTACCCCAAACTCATGGATAAACATTCTGGGCTATATCGCCACCGGCGAGTTTTAGGACATAGAGCCTAGCTTTGCTGCGTTTGCTCATATGCATTATATGAGCCGGGCCCCAAGCGGGTATGGTGCGTGGTACACTCTAACCACATACCCGCAATACTTGATGACCATGGACAAGTCGTCCAAATGGTCCGGCTGGAAGGATAGGTTTTATTTGATCTGCTCTCCAACTCTGGGGCATAAACGGTTCCTTCGCTGGTACAATCAAGATCCGGCGCTTCTCGGGAAAAAGTGTGCCATGCCCCGGATGTCTTCTAGGTCTTACGAGCATATTATTGAGCTGGGATTTTTTAAGACAACAACTGAGCCCTTAGAGGATGGGACTTAAATAATCGTTCCTAAGAACTAGATACCCCATCCAAACGTCTTTAAGAATGAGGCCTTCCTCTCCGCCTGTGGGCTTAGCACCATGTTCACGCAGGGTAGACTTATAACACACCCGGCAATTTGCCGTCTGTATTGATGCTTTACCTGTTTTTGTTAATCTTTTGATCAACTGTTTCTTTTTTTTTCTAGAAAAAGGGAAAAATATGGCTCCTCCAGAAATGATGCCTGCTAAGTCGGCTCTCTACTGAGAAAGGAGCAGCTTCTGGAGAAGAAGGCACCCTTGGAAGCCAAAAAGGGAGGGGTGAGCCGCCTGCTAGACTCAAACTTTCCGGCTGCACCCCTTTCATTCAACTTATAAATTTCCGTTTGTAATTCCCCATTTTGTTATTTTCTAGGCGGAAGCAAGTCAATCCCCCGCTCCATCACCAAGTTATTCAAGCAGCTAGGGGATGAGTTGGCCAAAACTCCATCTAAGATGGGGAGAAAAAAATCCTTCTACCTCCTCCTCAGCCAACCCAGATCGACCTACAACCGGGGGCAAAGGCCCGACTGTGATGAAAGCTCTGAGCGAAAGCTCAGGGCGATCTGCTGGGAAACAGCCGGATGTCTCTAAGGCATCGAAGAGTGGCGAGCCACTCACTGCTGCAGTCGGCGTTGCAACGACTGAAGAGGAATCTCCTCAGCCACGCGTCCAAGGTAAGACACGAGTCGACCTCCCCTGGC